TCCATCCTAGTCCAAGGTTGCTGCTGCATCTCACTTTGGTGTCCTTTTTGAAGGCTAACGAAAGCAGTAACGAAAGCTGGCGTCAACAACTGGCTATTCAAAACTTTCAGACAGGTCCAACAGGATGGAGTCAAGAACACTACGCAGTTTGGGATCCTGTACTGAGTCCTGCTGGTGGCAGACAAGATCTATGGTTTCTGTCTCGGCGCCTTCTTGACAGCAAAGGGTGGGGAAGCACTCTGCATGCACATGGAAATTGACATCTCCATGTTGGTTCTTTCTGGACCAAAACACCTCACATTGGTTTTGCAAAAAAGCCTTTCCGCAAAGGTCGCATGACGCATCGCTGGTTTCAACAAAACTGGCCTGAAATCTAGCACCGGTGCTATTTGAGACGTGTGCACCTACTGCACTTGTGTGTGACTCTGGCTCAGCTTCACTGCTTTCAGCATCTTCTTCCCCTGTTGGCATCAAAGTGCAAGTGGAAGATGGCAAGCTGGCAGCAGGCTGAGCCACAAAGGAAATTAGTGGCCTTCCCAACTTGCTAGGAAAGACACCTGCCACCAAAGCCACCATGATTGCACCAGCAGTGGGAATTGTCCAGGCGTCACCTGGTAAATACAATCTGCAAATTAGGCATGACATGAGCACAGGACACAGGTACAGTCGGTACAGTACAGTACATATGATTGGTTGCCCAATCATCCAAATGATTTAGCATCAGCAATGACAATGATTTAACTTGTTAATTTCATATCGCACCACAAAGCATTGGAACTTTTGGCCCAGTGACCGGCCAAGGTGTTGACCTGTGAGTAAGTAAGTGGTTGCAAATCCAGCTCTGCCGTGTCCATGCCTTGCAGGCATAAAAGGTCCTGTGAAACAATTTGAGAACATGTAACATGTAATTGGGTTCGTACTGACTCCTATGCTACTCCTATCTGAAACTCAAACAATGCTTGGCTTTGTTGACGTTTTTTGGGGGGGTCAGCGCTTCGACATGCATTTCTGTCCTGACCGCATAGGAAATCTTGATGAAGCCAGTCCCACAACTTCACGCTAGTTGTAAGTGCTGAAGTTCTTGACCCCAAGTAAAATTGTTCCCGGCCACAAGATCCTCAGAACCACATGCAAAGTGAGCCAACTAAGTAACCCACAAACTGCCTCTAGTTTGACTGCAGGTTGTTTAGTCAAACAACAAATGCATTCTTCGGCACCCTCAAAAATGCTTTGTTGTGCATCAAAACCCAACCTATGATTCCACATTGTGAACAAACCATCAATGTCTGGGACTCTCGCTTGCCAAATCGCTAATACACTTGGCGCCAACAGGGTCCACGCCCTTTGCCTTGGTTAAAAGTTAGTGAAGTCAAACAAAATCTTTTGGAAAAGCCTTGACAGGTTAAGGTTAAGTGCTGGATTTCTGAGGAGTGGTGAATAGTGGTTGCTGGGTGATTAAACATGCACCGCGCGCCCTTTGTCACATGTGCTGCTGGAGTGAATGTGTGCTGCTGCGCTGCCTGTGTTACCTAGCTGGAGTGAATGTGCGCTGCCCACGTTACCTACCTCCTCAAATCCTCATCCTCTTTCATCCTCCTTCATTCTCCTTCTGGATTACAGCAACCACACAAATCAAGTTGGGAAACTTGACGAAGAACTGGGTCCAAGATGATGTACTCGCCTTGCACACCGTTCAGGGTGCTGTAGTCAGTCGTAGTACTAGTAGTAGTAGTAGTTGTTGTTGTTGTTGTTGTTGTATGTAGTAGTAGTAGTAGTTGTAGTAGTAGTAGTAGTAGTAGGCGTAGTAGTAGGAGTAGCCGTAGCAGTAGCAGCAGTAGTGCTTCCAGTGTTGGCTATGGGATCCAAAGAGCTCAGTCAGGGTTCGAGAACTACCCTGTGACCACCTTTCATGCAAAATGCCACATGCACAGGTAATTGATGGTAGTAGTAGTAACTAGTAAATATTGTAGCAATACTGACTGTTTTAGTTGTGTTTTTGTGGTTATGTTACGTTTGAGTGTTGTGGTTGTGTGTTGTGGTTGCGTGCTGTGGTTGTGTGTTGTGGCTGTGTGGTCATGACACACTAGTTCTATGTAAAGATCTTTGATAATGATATGATATGATATGATGATGATGATATGATATGATATGAGAAGTATGCACCCCAGTGTCATCATAATGTGTCAGCTGCAACACTTTATGTTTAAAAGCTCAAACATTGTAGATTTACATTACATTGTCCTTTTACATTTCAACCTTTGTATACCACCACTTCCTCCTATCAGTTTAAAAAATAAGTAGTTACAAGTACAGTATATATAGTTGTTTTAAATTATGGTTAGAAGTTGTAAGTCATCCCATTTATATATCATATTATATGTGGGAAACGGATGTTTAGAAACGGTTCCAAGCGGTTCCAAGCGGTTTCTAGAGTGATGACATTATATAAAGCGTTGAGCGGTTCCAAGCGGTTTGTAATTTGTTGTTCAGCAGTGTGTTGCATATAGCGCCAAGCGGCTTGGAGCGGTTCAAAGCTATTTCTGCAACAATGATTTGATATAGTCCGAAGCGGTTCCAAGCGGTTTAAAGCGATTTGTACATCCCGACCTGTTCAGGACTAATCAGGACTAATCAGGACTAATCAGGACTAATTGGGGTTTGGGTGGTACATATAGCGTTCAATGGTTTGGAGCGGTTCAGAGCGATTTATACTCTTAGGTTTACAAATAGCGTGAAACGGTTCAGAGCGGTTCCAGACGATTTACAACGGTAACACGCTGCAAAAGTTATAAATAGTTTGGAACGGCTTGGAGCGGTTTCTAAACTGACCAGTTGAAAAAACATAGCAAACATACATACACCATATCATAATATTCAGCATAGTAAAACCTTTCATCATCCCTCTCCTACCAAATACAAACAAATGATTTTTAGCCTTCTAGTTTGTATACTCTTCAGTCCTCTTGCCTGTCACCCTGTCATCCAAGTCTGGTTTCTGGCAATGGGCTGGGCCAGGCCTGTCCAAGTGGGTTTGTGGGTCTGTCAGGTCTGTCAGTCTGTCAGTCTGGTCCTCGTCTGAGAGTTCTGGTCCCTCCATACTGGTCCCGGTCCATACATACCTTACCGTACCTGTCCAACAACCCTTGTATCCCAGCCCATGCAGGCCAGGCACGTTCATAAGTCCGAAATGGATGTCCAAAATCTCTTTCTCTCTCTGGTTCAACTCGTTCTGACGTTGAGGGGGCAGGGTCGAGCTGTACCCTCGGCCCGTTTTGAGGCCCAGAGTCTTGTAGTAGTCAGCAATCTGGTCCTTGCTCTTCTGGGAACGGCGCTTCCCATCCTGCGAGGGAGACTGGACAAAGTCTTCTGAGAAGGGTTTTCAGCAAACCTGACCCTCCAAGCCCTGGTCACAGTCTGTCATAAAGAGGAGATGTGGAATCAGGACTATTTATAACTGTGGTGGGAACCTTGCAGTCCTTGAGGGTGGTGAAGGGAGGGGGTGATTTGTCCTATCCTGATTTGTGGTGCCCTAACTTGTGACTGTCGGCAAGGGCAAACAATGCCTGGTTCCTCCTGAATTGCCTAGATATCATTGGGGGCCAATGTTTCAACAGTCCAAGTCTGTATCCAGGCCTGTGGTTGGTCCATGGTTGTGTCAAAAAGCTGAGTACGGCTGTATTATTAGTATGACGTATGACTCGACTATAGACTATACTATGCTGGATGCCTGACTATATCATATTGCCTATTGCCCATTGCTATTATATAGTCTACAGTGTCAATCAAATGGCCTGCAGGATTGATAGTTTGTTAAATCATGTGGAGGGTGACCAAAAAAACAAAAGACTGGCTTCACAAACCCTCTGCCTTGGAAAATGGGCAATGAAGCAAATCATGGCTATGAACTGAGCGCACATACTGTCGAATATCTTCCACGGTTGCCCCATCAGGAATCTGACTTGGAAAAAGGTCTGTCACCAAATGCAACACGCCGGAAAGTTGCCCAGGTTCCACCAACTCTTTCTGGATCAGAAGCAAATAGACTCTGCCTCTGGTCTGCGGAAGTTTGAAGTGCTTGTTCCTTAAATAGCGGTGGCATTTGCATGAGGGCAGATTCTGTCACAAGTGGAGCTTCACATTGGTTGGGTCCATTATAAGGTCTGGTTAACAAAGTCAATCGACCTTTGTGTTTTTTCAAATGAAGTTGCGTGTTTTTCACTGGCCCTTGGTCAGTTTGAAGTCTGGCAAAGTGTTGTTTTACTTCGACTTCATTCCACAGTAGTGTAGTGACTGTCTAGAACCAGGACTCTGGACCATAGTTCCTTGTCAAACATGTACAGTAATAGTAACATTGTCATCGTCATCGTTCGCTGAAATGGACTGAACATTGTGAAACTAGGCACGCTACTGCTGCTGACTGATGCTGACTTCTACTTCTTGTGAAGACATGTGTGAGTGAGAGTGAGTGTCCAAAACTCTATCACATAGCACGTGCTCACCCTGATTCTGCTGCTTGCACAAAAGCATGGACAAAGGTGGAAATGCAGTGTGAAGGTAAAGACTTCATCAAATCGGATATTGATATGTCAAACATGTCTTAACAAACAGCACGTGTCGAACTGTTGCTGGCATCATTGGCATGTTGGAAGCCACGTGGCTCCATGTTGAGAATGTGGCACTCGTACCCGTCCAGCAACTCCAGGCCCAGCTCTTCTCCTTCCCAAACTCCCCGCAAGATAAAGTCCAGTGGGGCCTTAGATGAATGTTGGCTTGGTTTTGTCAAAGTGTAACAGTTGAGCACAGCATACCCCAACTATTTACAGTACAGTATAGAGTCTAGTCTAGTGGTTGCATATGTTATGAGTCATTACTACTGCTACTGCCCAATGACATCACACTCTGGATACATCGCACTGCTGCATCATAACATAAGCAAGCCCTTTCTTTGAAAACAATGTTCACTTATTTTCTTGCTTTTGCTCCTGCGCTGCATGTTCACACTACGAGTCTTGGCACAACATACTGAGAATACTTCCTGCTGCCTTTTGGATATCACTTGGACCGGAGGATGAAACAGAATTTCCCTTGATCTCCCTGAGCTTTGATATTGCGTCCTCCTTGATCTCCTCAGACCCTGTTGATTCGATCATTTGAACGACGCAAGATGAGTGAAGCCATGCGCTTGGACGAAGCCTGTTGTGGTACCAGCAAAATCGCACTTCCCCTTTGGGGATCTTTGCTTTGCAAAAAAGGCACAAGCTGCGTGAAGATACTGCTTTGCTAGCTGAATCAAGCCCGAGAGATTGAGAGAAAAATGTCTTGCCTGTCTGGACATTGCCATGCTGAATGTTTGTGGTCAGCTCCTGCTTTTGTTGGTCTGACTTATCAATTTCTTTCTGAAGCTCAAGTGCGATTCTTTCCTCACTGAGCATGGTGGCTGATATTGGGTCAACCACTTCACTCTCAGCATTGGCATCGGCATCAGCATTGCAAATGTCACCCCCTTGGTCCTGCTGAGAACTCTGCGCATCGCTGGATCCGCTTGATGATGACTGATGCAACGTCTTCTTTTTCTTGTTGGCTTTCTTGATGCCAAGACCATGGCCCTTGCACTTTTTTTGCTTTGCACCAGTCCCTTTCCTGCGACTCGGAAGCTTCAACCCAAAAGGGAGTGTGCCATGACCTTTCCTCTTGGATGGTATTTGTCTTTTTGTGGTGATCTCAGAACTGGCAAGAAGATCTTTGGCTACAGCAATCAGCTGATGCCCATCCTCCCATGTGACAGCATAGTCTAAAATGTCCACGTTGAACATGATGTTGAGGCACTCAGTGTCATTTTGTCCTTCCACACCTCTTGAATAGCTGCTGCAAAAGGAGCAGAACACTTTCTTGGAAGTGGAAAATCTGGGAACCCCGGAACTGTCAACCAGGAATTTGATACGACCATCATTGCCGTCAAGTGAAGCTAACACAAGTGTTTGCACTTTTGGCCGCTGCAGCGTCACACCCAAAAAGCAAGTAACAGGTTCATCAATGAAGGATGCCCTGAAAGACAAAAATGCCCCAGCTGCAAGCTTTCTGTCTGCCAAGATATCGGCAAATCTGAGAACCAAGGTTGAGACTGTCTTGGAAATAGGAGAGGAATCACACAAGTCTGCTGAGCATTGGTCTTGAACATCTACAGTGTCGTTGATCAAGGTACTTTCTGCAGGTTGATGAATTGATTGCTGCAAAACAGACTCAATTGTCTCATTTGTCACGGCAAGATCGATCAAACTCTTCTTGAATGCCCCATCGCCTGAAGCCAAGCAACAGTGGCAACAGCAACTGTGAACAGCTTCAAACCTTTAAACACAATTTGAATGTTCTCGTGTTGGATGGACAAGTTCTTGGAGGATAGTATGGGCTGACATACTGAATCAAGGTCCATTTTACCTTACCGAAGCGCAGCAGAGTTGCTGTCAGAGAACTGGGTCTTGGAATTCCAAACCTCATTATTCTTGTACACCTCTTCGTTCAAAGCCAGTCGGCGAGAAGAAAACTTTTTGCAACCACTGCGGCCAACTTCTTGTTCAGGGAGTTTGGTCGATGATGAAGAAGCGGTCTTTGAAGCGATCTCAGCCTGTGTCACCAGAGGTGTCTCTTGAAGCTTCTCACGTAATTGGTTCTCGTGCGCTGCTTGCAGAAGATATGGCTCCCTTGCCTCTTGTGACATGGATGCCCAAGTGGAGCTCAACTGCTTGACTTCTCTACTGTAGGCTGCAGGATCAAGCGCTCCCATCTTGCATTCCTTGATGGAATCTCTCTGAAACACGTTCCATCCTGAAATTTGACGGATCTTTCTTGTCCTGGAATGCTCCAATCTTGCATGCCTTTCCGCTGTGGTCTCTTGGGAAGTCCTTGATCTCGGTGTCTCCTAAGTTGGACAAGAACAAGAACTGGAGAGAAGGTGACACCTTTTGACACATAAGTGGAACACACTGTGAATTGTCCAGCTGGCATTTGGGTGCGTGTCAAAAAGTAAGTAAGACCTAAGGACCTGCAGGTTTTGGTCTTTTGTACAATGGGGGTTGGATGGTAACATCATCATTTATCTAGTACTGTTTGTACTAGCCAGGAACCATGACCTTGCTTTCACCTAGTGTGGTCCAGTCTAGTCTAGTGTCTACAGGTTGCGGACAAGTATCTTTCCCCAAGGACTTCGTAAACTGGTTGCTGCTTTTTGATCCACTCATTTTCCTGATGGAAGAAGCTGATAGCTTGGAAGGTAAATCACCACACTCCAAGACATGTGCAACCCACTGGCGCCGATTGATGAGACATTGTAGGATGCTCTCCTCAACGGCTCTGTGCACCCCTTTGAGCTGAACATTTCCTCTTCTGGACAGCAGCCACTGTATGTTTCCATTCCGCACCTCTACAGCATCTGATGTCATTGGACACCAAGCTGCAATGTCCAGAAGCAAGGATTCAATTTTGGCTTTCAATGCTACTTTTTGTTCTGCTGACCCTTGCCAGACCTCTTCTGGGAAAGCTGAAAGTAGTGTAGCTGTGAATGTATCGTCCACACAGGATGTGCAAGCTTGAAACTTGCAGCACAAAGAACACCATTCCTTGATGAACTTGTCGTCTGAAAGCCCGATCAATTGAAATAGTGAGAAAGGTGTTTGGTCAAATTCGTCCACAAAGCGCCTCCAGGTATCAGTGCAGCAAACAATGACCAGATTGAATACCTGTTGTAGAAAAGAATCATCCACTTCACCTCCAAGACCGATTTCAATTGAATCATGCAGCCTGAAATTCAGATTTGTCATGAAACTTGAAATGAGCTCTTTTCCAAGTCCCCCTGTCACTGCATGAAGAAATTTCCCTTTGCTTTGCTGCATAAGTTCATGATGTTTTGGATGATCGGTCCCAAGAGCGCAAAGTTCGTGAAGGGTGGAAGTTCGCTTGAAGCAGAAATTGACCCCATGCTCAAAAGGTTGAAGTAAAGTGTCAATCAGGAATGCATTCTTTCGAAAATCTTTGGAGCTCAATTCCTGACAAATCAGCTTCTTCCGAATGGAGTTTTGCGTAGCATAGTCTACCTGGTTGTCCAACATCTCGCTCACCACTTGCTGAAGATCTTCTTGAGTATAGACATTTGAGACAACCTGCTCACACCTCCCTGTGTCAGCCAAAAGTACTTCTATCACAGCTGACAAATCGGAATCAAGTTCCACCCCACTCTGCATGGCAACAAATGTCCGTGGCACAAGGTTGTGAAAAGCGCAGCCTATCTTCATATACGAGCTGGCAGGGCCAAAGTGTTTGAATCTGTATAATAAGGGTGTTGGGTATCCGCAGGAGAAGAAACCAATCACGTACTGCAAAAGCTTGGCAACACATTCCGAATGATTTGCGCAGCAACCTGGTAGACACCAGTGACAAATGATGTCTTGATCTGAATTGCCATTACAAAAGCTGAGCATTGATGCCAGCATTGACCTCATGGTTTTTGGGCCACAAAAGTCTTTGGATATCCAGTCAGCTCGCTTCTTCCATTTAGGATGTTCTGGTGGCAATGTGTGCACTTCAATACCTGAGCTTGAACATTTTGGATTAGGTGCTGTCAAGCTAACATGTAATGTAAAAAACAGTAAGTAAATGCTAGTGTCTAGTCTGTCCTGTCTAGTGTTAAAAAAATCATTGGCAGGAATCTGTCGCTGAAATCAAAACAAAATGGACAATTGGCAAACCTAAACAACATCAACTCAGGCACGTTGGAACATGTTTGGTGCCTGAAGCACAACAAGCATCGCTGAAGCGAAGGCTCTTCGAAATGAGGCTTGCTCCATCATGCGGGCCATTCTCACCAATGTGCTCCAATAGCCTTTGGCTGATAAGACGCATGGCTTCCGTATCAAGTTCAGTTGGTGAACCATGCATTTCAATCTGAGGGAGAGGTCTTGAGACTCATCATGCTGCTGATCTTCTGACTGCTGTTTCTTCATCATTCTGATGCGTCTTTCAACAATCCATGCTGCATCATTTGCACGAAGAGCATCCCCACAAAAAACTTGTGTGCGGAAGCCTGTCTGAGGTATTGTGACAGACTCTTTTGTCAGCCCCAATTTTGACAGCATGAAACCAATACCCTGAGCACAGAAGACTGAGAAAGCTGTCATTGCACCATGAACATCTCCTGCTTTGGCCCCAGAGAGCGCCACCATTGGAGATGGTACTTGCAAAGTTTGCCACTCCCTTTCAGGGCAATCCCTACAAGAATCATTTGAGTACCTGATATGCAGAGATTGAACAGTATTGCAAACAGTGAAGATCTGGCTCCGGCCACTTGGAGGTTTCATCCTCGTGGTGGTATCATCTGCTATCACACAATTGATGACATGCTCAATCTGGTCGCGCTGGAACAAGTCTTGAACGATCTTCAAGAGGGTAAGCAAAAAGCTGTACAAACACCTTGCTCGGTCAAGCTTCTTTCTTTGCCTGTCCTGCTCAGTGCTGCTGTGAAAGAGCTTTCTCGAAAAAAAGGCTGCCTGCAGGTCTCCTTGCCGTGTGTCCTCTACTTTCTCTTCAACTCTTGCTACAGTCAAATCAAGCTTCCGTTTTTCTCTTGCCTTTGCTGCCGCACTTCTTGCTTTGGCAGTGCGCTGCTGGTTCTTCAATCTTTTTTCATTCTCTTGCTCTGACTCAACGTCCAAACTCTCCCACAGGTCAGCTAATGGCATAGCGTTTGGAGAGGCTGGACACTATTGTTCTGGTCCACTGTGACAATGAAAAAAGCCTTCAGGAATTGAAACATTATGTTTCTGTGGTGGAGGTGAAACATAGTAGCTCGCAGTTTGAAGGCCCAAAATTCCCAAATTGGAAGGCAGCTGCAGCTTAAGTTGTTGTCAGGGCTAAGTGTTTTTTTTGTTATATTTTTTGTTTGTCTTGTCTTGTGCTTGCTGAGGGTATGAAAGTGGCTGGGTCTTTCTAAACAAACAGCTGAAGCCTGATTTGATAAATCCATCAATCCAAAAAAGGTGACCGTGACCGTACACCTTGATCTTGACATATCTTGACTCAACATGAGAGAGGCTGCGCGACAATCCAACAAAACAAGATGATGGGTTGTTAGGCTATTTGGGATAGGGATGGGTCGGTGAGAGGTTTGTCATGCATGGATGGCAGTAGATGTGCTGAAGAAGAATTGAATATATTATACTCACAACATTGCTTCTTGAACCCTGACTGCAGTTAGTGCAATACTTCTTGAACAGCTTGACCAGTCTGAAAGATCCACGTCTGAAAGCCTGGCCCGCACTCTATTTGCCAAGGTGCTTCGTACTTCTTGAAAAATGCATCGTCTGAGTCTGAGTCTTGTGGAAAAGGTGTGCAAATGGATTTCACCTGACCAGAAGTCAGACTCCAATCAACTCCACTCAAAAAGCAACTGACACAGTCAAACTGATTTCGAGACACCCCTCCCTCCTAACATGACTATGCCAACCTTTTGCATCTCTCTCTCTCTTTTTAATGCCTTGTTTGTCTTATCTTTCAATCAATGCTAGATTGTCCCTTGTTGAATCGCAATCAATTGAAGCTCTTCAGAAATAACAGTTCCATGAGAAGCACAATCCTTTGCAAGCAGTTTGAATGACATAGCATGGGAACATGACAATGGTCAGATGGTAATTTCTCTATCGCCCGGCCTGCTCAAGAATGCTAACAGGAGGCCTCCTTCTTCCTCAGAAAACAAAGACCAATGGACCATGGACCAAAATTGAACTTTTGTCATCCGAGTCCTAACTTTATGGATCCTGCGAACTGCTCACTGCCAACAACATATACCTAATCCAAAGTCTGTGTGTATGCTGTATGGTCTATGATGGAAAAGTTATTCTGTAAATTCTGTGTGTATGAAGCAATCAATTTGTGATATTCTGTTTGTCATGGTTTATATACAGTTTTGGACGCTGCACCCTCGTACTGGAAATCATTAGAGATACCAAGACTTGCGCGCTCCATCAGAAGTGGGCCAAGAGACGAATCCACCTCAGGCAATCAAGTAGTGGTTGTGCGTCTGGCTCCAAGAATGGGTTGTAGCCAGATCTGCGTTTGCGTGAATTGAGTACCTCATTCCAGGAACCAATCGGTTCGTATGACCTGGCCCTACCGCCCTACTGTACCGATCACTGCCTGTCAATGACTCATAGTATCATGCTGCTGCAACAAAACCTTCTGCTGGCCAGTGGAAGTGACTTTCTGGTCATCAGGAGTCCTAGTAGTGTAGCTTTCCACATCTTACATGTGTGTGTGTGTGTCACTTCCTGTCCCAAAGGACTGTACATAGAAGCAGGGGTTCCAAAATCAAAGGCCCATGGGCCCATGGGCATGGATGACATGGGCCACTGAAGACCCATCCATGTCGCTGTGAAAATGTACCTGCACCAATTTTCAATCCTTCGTGTTGAACGGTTGACAAAGCTGTGACTCCCATCTCTGAGTAAAGTGCTAACATGTCTTGGTTAAAACCTTCTGTTGAGCTGACCCAGGACTCTTTACGTTCTGCAAGTCAAGGTCTAGCTTTCAGTAGTGCAAAGTGATACCTTCACAGGGAAGTCATAACTGATAGAGCCGAGCTCTTGTGAGCATGGATCTAAGTCTAAGTGTGTGTGTGTGTGTTGCTGCACTGTGCAAAGTAGTTGTTTTGGCCAAGGCACACTATATGGTGGACATGGTGCCCCAAAGCAGAAGCAATCTTCAGTAGGAACTTCTTTCATGGAGCAATTCTGCCCGTGCAAAATGCAAAAGCCGAAGTTGTGAGCGTCCGCCATGTCTGTCAACAGATGTTGGACTTGGCTCCAGGACAAATGAAAACAGGCAAATGATGGATTGATCAAAAAACCATGAACCGTGGCAAGTTGGCAAACGACAATTCTCACTAATGTACTAATGGCTGAACATGTTTAGTTGAAATCGCCAAATTGTGGTTAAGTCTTGACAGGTCTGGGTAGCTAGCTGCAGAGCAAATTGTAAGATAACACATGATTCATAGGCGACATGAAACATTTGGATGACTGGTTGATGTCATGTCTAGGGACTTTGAGCTTCTTTTCTTCTCATGGTGTCAGTTCAACATGAAAACACTTCGAAAGCAAGCTGATACCAAGATTCCCTCAGGGAAATTCTTCTTGATGTAGTCTTGCTTGAATGCGCAGTTCTCCAATGCCACATCGGTAGTGCTGCGAAAGCCCAAAATCTTTGCGATCTCCCTCCTTAACTCGCAAACTTGAGTGACTCAACAATCGTTTGAAGCTGACCCACATGGACAATTTCACTCAGTAGGCTGGCATTTTACAACATGCAACCTGGTGCCCAATGAGCACAGCACATAAGACTCTGACTCTGTTACTATGCTGTGATTCGTCAACAACCTTCTGTAAATGCAATGGGGTGTTGCTTGACTTTCACATACTTTCACCTAATATCTGACATCCTGTGTGTTTTACCTGGGTTTGACCAAACAGTAAACTTCTATCAATCCTACAGAGGTGGGTGCTGTGCAGTGTGGTCTCAAGGTCATCCAACTGCATTGGATGTTCCATCAAACGAGGTATTGTTTTGTTGGCAAGATGCATAGCCAGTGTTGCTGGCGCACTTCCAGCGCAACCTTCTGTGATATGAAACCTCAAAATGCAGCAGCTGAAGTTGTTTCAACACATGCATGCTGCACGCAGTGACAAAGTTCCCAGAAAAACAACAAAACAACAATCACCCTGGTCTGTGAATGTGTCAAGTTTGTGAAGAGCTTTGGACCTGTTTCAGTGAACATATATATATAAATATATAATATATATAATATATATATTCGTGTATGCTGGAATACGTTACATATTTTTCATTCATATGTTAGTTATTGAGTTGAGTCTATAATCAATATATCTTCCTTTGAGACTCTTAAGTCATACTCTTGCTTGTTTGTCTTGCCATTCTTGAATCAAGGGGCTCCTCCTTGATGTAGGCTTTGTAGGCTTCCAGGTCGATAGCTTTGCAGTAAAGATTGGCCCAATCCAAGAATGAAGGTCTTCTCCTTGGACCACCAAAAACCAAGAGGGAAGATATTTGATTGATGTGATTTGACTTGTTCACGTAAGCGTAAGTGCTGCAATTGTTGTCAAGGCATAGCCATAGCCTACACCAAACACCACATCATTACAACCTTTGGACTCTTTTGTTCAACCATGTCTCGGATGTGAAGGCAGGCTTGCGTCAGCAGTAAGGTCAGCCATGGGTCGACCGCCGTGCAGCGCAGTGGCGCCCAACAAAAAATATATAATATATATGCTATGCCTGCATGCATGTGGCATGTGTACTGACTTGTAAACTTATTCACTGCCTTCAATCAATGACTCTTGATCTGAATCTGGCCAGGCCACACTGTCTGTAGGATAACAGCAATGGTGACAACATGTTCTGTGAGATGACATGACATGAGCCAACATAATTGACAGCTCACTGCCCAACCCTTCTGAGCCTTTGGTGCCAGTATGGGCGCTGTGGCGCAAGACGTGTGGGCAGTGGTGGTTGTGGTGGCTT